AGAAGATGCTGAATGATTTAAATAGATGTATTCACACAACCTCCCTAGTTTTTACATCAACCAAAGTGTCACAGTGTTCATTATTTGTTTTCCTTTTAGCTTTATAACACCTAACCACAAGTCTGAACTCTGCATGACCCCACGAACTCCAACGCCATTCAAAAACGCCATGGAGAAGTACGGCCCTTTGCAGCCTCTAGTGAGTATCACTTTGAGTTTTCTGTTAGTTATTTTTTTTATTTTATTTTTTTCAGTATTTTCTGCTTTATCTTCTCAGCCTCAAACTCCAAATCTTGAAGACGACATAAATGAGGTTATCCTGAAAGACACAGGAATCAACTTGGCTGTTGTRGGTTCATCTCCACCTGAGCAAAGGCGCAAAACAATGGTAAAAGCAGAATGAAGGAAAGAAACAAACTGTTTACGTTGATTACTTGTCTTTATATCTAGTGTTAGAGTTAAGCTGGAAACATACTCCCTCCGAACTGCCGATGTCGGCACGGTTTGTCACAGTTTCATGATGAAAATTWCATCACCGGGCTTTGCAGYGTCGGCTCRGCAGCCCCTTTTGGCACAACCCRMCGGCAGWACTTTTTACCCCCCTCCCGYGACRACTGTGATGTGTGATTGGTCTGAAGTTTGTGGGCGTGTTTGTGCTGAAAGCACTCGGACGGTTCCGCTTGGTAAAATTTTAAAAAATTTAAAAAGAAAACGGTTCACTCCCAGAGCCGACTGTTACCAGGAAGCAGAGTTTTATAACAATAGTCAAACCGTGAAAAACTCATAAGTGGAGATTAAACAGATGTTGTGCACGGAGGAATCTGACTAATAAAAACTGTGAAGCTTTAACCAGGACAGATGTGGATAAATAACGTTGGGTGAGTGATGAGTCTGACTTTTTTTTTTTCTGCATTGTCAGCTGTAGCAGGAAGAAACTCCATGCAGTGACATATGCTGCAGCGGGAGGGGTTTCCCAGGAGCTTGGCGCAGTGTTTCTCTTGGGCTATGAATGGTCTTTGCGAAAATGAATGCCGAACAACCACTTGACCGCACATCGACCGGTCAGCGTCGGAGCGAGTATGTTTCAGGCTTTAGCCTCTTTATTTCGAGTGTTAAGGTTAGCCTCTTTATATGGGCTGTTAGGGTTAGCCTCTTTATATGGGCTGTTAGGGTTAGCCTCTATATCAAGTATTAGGGTTAGCCTCTTTATATCGTGTTAGGGTTAGCCTCTTTATATCGAGTGCAGGGTTCGACAAGATTTTTA